CATCTTGTGAAATTGTGACACGTAGTATAATCATTACTGACAACACGTTATGCACCTAGTGCGAAATGACAGTGCAAGCTTTGTTATGTACAATTAAAAAACATACAAGCAACAATAATTTGAATATGGAAAGACTTTTTCTATATTCAACATCATTATGAAGCCAATCATGTGCACATATCAATGATTGCACTGTCTTTAGTCACATTGAGCTATGATAAGCATTGAGAACTCATCCCATTGTACTAAATGCTGACTCTGACACCAAAACATCTCGAGCCATTTTGGAAATGTCGGGAAAATTTGATTCATTGAGCTCCCACCAATTTTGGATACTGAAATTTTGATCAAATGGGAAGAAAGGTTCCTCCAAGTATAGATATAATTCTGACTATCTCAATACATTGCTTGAGCTCTCATTAATGAATGTTATAAACTCCCGTCTCAACTTATCACCAGTGTCAAAATCACTATTGAAAGAAGATGAACTACTACCCAAAATACTCACAGAGCTAAAATCTATTGGTCCATTACTTCCATTCTCCTTATAAATATCATAAATCCATTGCAAAACCATAATTGATGCTCTGCATCATTGCCATCTATTTTAGAGTAGTAGTATTGCACTACCTTAAGTTTGTTATAGCCGGGGTCCGGCACGCATGGGATATGTCTGTGGTAGAAGGTTACTCGAAAGGAAAATCTTCGAGTACCAAGTGGTAAGAGGTTCAGATGGTTTCGTCGTGGGCATGGGGGCGGCTAACTCCCAAGTCTAAATGCTTGGGCGGTTAAGCATATGTTTGCATCTTCTTGTCTTGCCCCAATTCGGAGCTGACAACAAATTGGCAGCATAACGGCCTTTTGGTGTCTCAAACCCTGTCTGTGGCACTCTTGGGCTCGGGGCCTCAAGTAGAGAAAGGACAAGCAAGTGTACCGACGTGGACCGAGTGCTAGACATCCCCAGCCTTAACGCAGGTGTGGAGGCTAGCTGAATGGACGTAGTGTGAGAGTAAGTGAGTTTGCGGCACCGGCGCCTTCCCTAAGAACCTGTGGTGCTGGTGGGCATATGGATGTGTGCATGATGCTCTTGTGTGGTGAAGGCGTCCTTGGGGCCGGCCCGAAGTGAGTGAGAGGGTTTGGCAGCAAAGGTGCCAGCCTCTCGATGAAGTGTAAGTGGTGAGGCGGCCTTGGGGCCATCATTCATGGTGTACGAGTGTGTCTTGTAGAGTGACCGGCGGCTAGGCCGCTGGTGAAGGGCATGTGGATGAAGGGTGACCCTTGGGCCACCTTGAATGAAGTGACCAGCGGCAAGACCACCAGTAGGATGCTATGCAAAACCGATGGCCTTGGAGCCACCTTGTGTGAAGTAACTAGTGTCTAGGCCTCTAGTGGGGTGCTTGTGAGAGGGGGTGGTCTAGTTATTGGCGTGTATTTTGATGCACCTCTTTCTCTATGTACATAAAAGAGGAGGCGACTACAACCATAGCTCATAGGCGTTAGATATGCCTTGGGACTATGAAAAGCCCATGCAAAATAAGCCCAATTTTGAAGATCTATTGCAAGGGCATTATCTCAGCCCCAAAAAGTGTATGAGAGTGGCCTTTGACATTCCAAAGTCCTTCCCCAAAATTTTCCCTGAGCGAGCAAAGGCATGAAGAGACAAGAAGAAGATACGGTTTGGCGTACTGCACGCTATACGTGTATAAGCTACGCCATAGTCAAAACTCCCTGAAGGTGATCTCAGATGGTCTCCAGACTACTGCAGACAACTTTAGAAGGCCGAAAAACCCCTAACTAGCAAACTTTATGTCAAAGGGACCATTCTAGGTCGTACTTTCCCAAAATAGATAGACCATTTACTATTCATCTGAGGGCAAGCAAAACTAGTTGTCTAAAATAGTAAAAAACTAATACATCTTCTCGAAAATGGGACAAGCATGCAACACTTATGTCTCATCATCCGTAACAAGAGTAAAGTTGTTACTGGGACAAGCATGCAACAAGCATGCAACACTTAAAATTTGATATGTTGTGCTCCTCAACACGAGTAAAGTTTTGACATATGCCACATATGAAACCAAAAATCAGATCAAGAGAAATCTTAGAGAGAAAATCACACAAAAACGCATTATGTAGAAAATTTGTATGCATGATGTGATTTTTCTCCAACAATCGTAACTCAAAGACTTGAGGTGGGATCAACCCAGAAATGGAAGCATTTCAATCGTGACTCAAAGAGCTTCGATTTGAGGTAAAATACATTAAGAATGAGGTCTAATAAGACACCCATCCAAGGCTCACAAATGTGCATAAATTTTGGGTTGCCAAAAAAGTGATTTTCTGAGTACTTCCCAAAAATCCCAAATGGACAATCAAAGGCCAAAAAATTGCACGATTCTCAATGCAAAATGATCATGACGACTTCCCCTTCGATTTACCAACAAAAAATATTATAATAGTGACACTTTTGACAATATCGAACAACAAAGAGAACACAAGTTTACATTGTGACCGGAGAAGTGAAAAATTACAAGAACATGATCAAAACTCCGAGACAGTAAGCAAATCTTATATCAAAACGATCATCTCGCCATAATCTACATTTGTAAAGCAATAGATAACCCAAAACATTGCCAGAAAGCCTGGAAAGAAGGCCTCAAGCCCTGTGGATGGGAAGAGGCCCCTTTTTTGGGACCTAAATGTCATATGCATGTTTTCTTAGGGACTTTTTTTTTATCATTTTTTCATTTTATGAGATTACTTTTTATTTTACTTTATTATGTTTTTAATCAATTTCTATGGATTCTAAGTGTATGCCATGTTTCAAGGGTTACCTCAATATAATCCCATACTCTGTAATGTTTAATGAGTTGTAAAAGGGTTGGAAAAAGTGAATGAAAATAGGCTTAACCTAGGAGAGGGAGAGTAGTTTTTGTTGTGCTTTCTTGAAAATCTAATACTTTTGAGAGAGGAGAGAGAAAATTTTATGTCAAAAGGAAAATATCTCTCTCCCACTATACTCCCTAGTTAGGCTACACTTCCATCCTAGGCCATACCCCATACCCCTCCATACTCCATACTACTCCATGCTCCCTACTTACCCATACTCCCTACCCATCCATATTCCCTACCTACCCATACACCACCCCTATTCATATATCTATCCCTACTCTTCCCATATCATACTCCCTTACAGCCCGTCAATGTCGCAACCTCGGGGTCCTTCAGGTTACTTAAGCCTCGTGCCTAGTACTTTTTCTATTGTTGCAAGTATTGCTTCCTAAGACAGGTGATGCGAAAATGCCGTTGGATTATTGAGTGGTCCTCTAACCTACCTAGTCTTCTAGCCTAGTATTCGTTAACCCACCTAGCCTTTTAGCCTGGCACGCCCCAACCTACTTAGCCTTCTAGCGTAGCACTCCTCTAACAACCTAGCATTCTAGCCTAGCATGCCCCAACCTACCTAGCTTTCTCCCCTCCCAACCACCTTAATGTACCATATTAAAATTTTTAATTAAGAGTATGCCACATCCCCATCTTAATGTGCTATATTAAATCAACATATTTTTTTAATTAAATAAATTAATTAATAGTAAAAAACTGTCATATAAAAGTTTTTGCTATATATTAGTAAAATGACTTTATCAGTAGGCTTTGTTACATATTAATTTTTTTTGTAGCTGCTGTACGTGTTGCCGAGAGATATTTTTTTATTTTTTAAATTTTAATATCTTTATTTTCCATTTTTAGGGTAAAAATATTTTTCAATTTTTTAATATAACATTAAAATTCAAAGGGGTTTTATTTTTGTTTTTAATCATATGATATGGAAGTTCTAATATTTTTTTAATCATATTTATTATAATATTATAATTGATAACATACATTGATAACTAAATCTTGTATTTTATTAATTTATTTACATTATAATTATGTAATATAGTATTTGTTCTTATAATTGTAAATAAGATTTTTAAAATTAGATGATATTATAGGACATTTTATATTTGTTCTTATTTGTATATTAAAATAAGTATAAAATGTAAACAAACAATTTTAATTTCAGTATATAATATTATAGTTAGTTAGGCTGTGATAATTTTAGATGAGTAAAGTGAATTAATACATGTTTGATATTTTGATGTGGTACTAATTTCACTTTATATGGGAAAGTATTATTTTTAATCTTACAACATGCAAGTGTTTTCTAATATTTTTAAGCTATTTTGATACAATATTATAATATTATATTATAGTTAATAATTATACAGATAGGAAAACAATGTCTCAGTATTTACCTATTTTTATAAAGTAATGAAAGTACATAATGTACCATTCCTAAATTTTTTTTAGAAACTAAAAGAATACTATTTTTAGAGATATATAATGATTTTTTAAAAGGTTTTTGGGACGAAACTTGCCGATTCGGCAATCTTCAATCTGACACGCCTATTTACTGCTCCAACACAGTTTTTGGGTAGCCGATTTGGGTCGTCGATCCGTTTTCTTAAACCTTGATATATATAGGTCTGATAACACTAGAAATAAGAGATAAAAAACGAGAAAAAATAATAATATGTCATTTGATAATGGGTACTCATTTGATAATGGAAAGACGGGTATAAATGGTGGGAATGAATAACACAATGTGGTACCTTGGTGTGGAAATGCTACACCAGCCCCTTTCCTAAAGTGGCAATGAGTTGGAATGGTTCAAATTCATAAACATATTAAAATATCATCATGGATAAAATTCCTTCTTATCCCAATTCGTTATCCAATTGTTGTTTTAGGCGGAAAGGAACGGTCGGGATTTCATCTTCACTGTCCACTACTCCACTTACAAAGGCGGATTCGTAGACGCTCATCTCGTATACTGCTCGGTGCATGCGCGACGAGTGTAAACAATCGGAACGTTTCATTGTACAGCATTGTTTAAGAATGTCATCTCCACCATCCCTTTATAACGACGGACGGCAGATGCGTGGTATCCCCATCCCTTGTGAGGGTTTTTACCGATATTGTCATGGCCTTGGTTTATGGAGGATTAGGGTTCCCATTTCGTGTGTTGTTTCAGGGAGGAAAAGATCTAGGGCTTCGTCATCTCAGCATGATTTCAGAGGAAGAATTGGGGTTTCACCCAATCATCGTAGCTCTCATCATTGGATCCCAGTTCAGAAGCGGAATTTACGAGAGGAAAGCTTCTCAGCGAACTGTGTACATGGAAAATAGGTGGCCCTTCTGATTTTTTCTGCGAGTTTTATGATGAATCCCAGCTCATATCTTCAATCAGGTTATGTTTTATTCTTGTGAATCATTGTTTACTTGTTCTGGTTGTTATTTGATCATTTTTTTTCGTCTTAGTTAGGATTTTAGGCATTAGGATCCATTACTGGTCTGCTTCTTTTATTATATATGGTTGCTGATTGTTTTTTCTGGTTTCACCTTGAATGTAGCTTGATTTATCCTTCTTTTTGGCTGATTTGATGCATTAGGGATATATTACATGCTAACTTTCCCTACTTTCGGTATCATTTCTGTTGTAACGCTTCTTTTTTTTCCTTTTTACTGTAAATGGAAGATGGATATTTATTGGATTTCTTCCTCCTTTTTTTTTTTTTAAACTGATTTTAGGCATTAGGATCCATTACTGGTTGGCATTCTTTTATTATATATGGTTGCTGATTGGATTTTCTGTTTCACCTAGAATCTAGCTTGATTTATCCTTCTTTTTGGCTGATTTTATGCATTAGGTATAGATTACATGCTAAGTTTCCCTACTTCCAGTATCATTTCTGTTTGAGCGCCTCTTTTTTTGGTGTGGAATCTATAGAGCACCAATTTGGAGATTTCAGTCAGTTTCATTTTGATTGATTGAATTATTTATTTATTTTTTCAAAACTGATTTTATAAAATGAGGATTGGTTTCTTACGTATTAATTTATCATCTTCCATTTCCCATTTCCTGGTTTAATTCCTCTTTTGGGTATGAATTATACGGAGCGTAGAGTTTTTATCTGAGGTGTTCAATTTTGATTAATTGGATAATGAAATAAGGCTAGACCATTACCCATGCTATGTATTGGCAGCAAATGGAGATTGGAGAGTGGCGAGAGCAGGAAATATAGAGTTTGAGGAAAACCTCATAAAAAATCTGAAGTGAAATAGAAACTGCATTCTATCTTGTTGACACTACGGTGAAATCTAAGTCAACCATAGTACTTGTTAAGTAAATAAGTCTAACCACTTTGCCTTTTCATCCTCCTTTTTTTTTTTTTTTGTCCTCTTTGAGGGGATAGTTAAGCTACATGGATAGAATGAAGTAGAAGAACGACTGTTTGAACTGAAGACCTTATGTTTTGACTTATTTCAAATATATGCATGATTGGAAGAGTAGAAATCTTTAAGGGACTCTCTTGGTATAAGAATCATATTCTTGCACAATAAGGTTGTGCGATTAACGTAATCTCCAGTCCTCATCTTGCAACTATGTGCATGCAATGCAAAAGTTGCTAGTACCAAAATTTACTACAATGGTTCGAAAGTATGAAATGCATGATGGTACAACGAATACTTATGTACGGGAAAATAAAGCCAAATAAACATATCTACATCATCAAATAAGAGCCCAAAGAATACTTGCAGACCATGATCGCACTTAAGCAAATTAGAAGGCCCTCAAGACAATAAGCACGCCCTTAAAAATTTCCTGTTATGCTGGAATCCCAAGAAAAGGAAGAGATCAAGAGAGACTCAATCTCAAGCCAATTAGTAAACCCCAAGATTTTTTTAGGCTGTGAACACTCTTAACCCACCCACCCCCCACCCCCCCCCCTGCCCCCCAAAAAAATAAAAATAAAATAAAAAACCCACAAGAAAATAAAGTTCTTAAATCTCGTGTTCTATAGGAAGTTTGAAGCTCAAGGTATTAGCTAGAACCCAATAAGGAATTGCTGATTTGCTGTATAGGGTTTTTTAGGACAAGAGCTATATGAGATTTGTCTTTGGATGGGAGGGTACCGGTTTTTGAATATTTTGTATATTTTGAAGCTAGATATGCTTATGAAGCTAGATATGCTTATTTCCACATGAATTAGGGATGGGTTGGGGGGTCTTACAGGACTGACTAACTTTAGCCCAAGTATATGGCTCGCTAATTTTGGCCTGTGTGCTAGAGCTCCTATTTAGGTAGATTGTGGACCTAAGGGGTTTGGTTTGTCTAATTGTAGTCAGATCAGCATAGCCCATCCATCATGTGCAAATGATTAAAATGCCCATGCCAAGGTAAATTTTGCAATGGCATTTTGGTCATTTGCAGTGATGCTAGTGATGAGATTTGAACTTAGGCTAAAATCGATATGGTTGTTTGGGTAAGCGTTGGGGTCCTCACTTGACTTCTGTTTGAAATTAGATTTTTAAATTATGAATAAAGTAACTATGGATTTATTATCTAAAAAGAAGGAAAGATTCTACATGGACTTGGTCCAAATAGCGCATCCTAGCTCCTTTGGGTCATTCTGGTATGGTAAGAGTGTGTCGGTTCAGAAGTGATTGGTTGGGACAGCTTGCTATGATTACTTATATACATTATTTGATTTGTAATTTGAAATTTTGGTTATACACAATTTGGCCTTCTAGAGAGACAAGTGAGTTCTCAATGACAATGGGCCTACATCAATGGTCAGCTATAAGTCCATATCTCTTTGTTTTGGTTATGGGCGAGTTAACCAGGCACCTACAAGCGGAGGTACCGTGGTGTATGTTGTTCATGGATGATACAGTCTTGATCGATGAGATTAGAGGCGGCGTCAATGCCAAGTTATAACATTGGAGAGATGCTCTAGAATCTAAATGTTTTAAAACTAGCCATACTAAGACAGAATGTATGGAATACAAGTTTAGTAGTAATAAGAATAGAAACGAGGAAGTATTTGAGATTGATGGTTAAGAAAAATCTAAAAGAGATTGTTTTTGATATCTAAGGTCGATAATCTAGGAGAGTGAAGAGATTGAGGAAAATGTCATACATAGAATTAGAGTTGGGTGGGCGCAGTGGAGATTGCATCCGGAGTTTTATGTGATTGCCATATGCTATGGAGATTGAAGGGGAAGTTCTATAGGATGGTTGTAAGGCCAGCCATGCTTTATGGGATAGAATGTTGGGTGGTCAAAAAACAACATATCCATAGGATGGATGTAGCTAAGACATGAAGGTTGAGATAGATGAGTGGCAAGATAAGAAAGGATAGAATTTAGTATGAATACATACAATGGAACGTAGGTGGGATGGCCATGTGCAACCTAATACACCGATTAGGAGGTGCAATTGGATTCAACTGGAAGGCTCTAAAAGGGCAAGGGGAAGGCCCGCACAATGTTTCAAAAAGTGCTAGGTGGGTCTTAGGCCCCCCAGTCTGCCCAGCGCCTAGGCAGGTGCTCAGAACCTGAGTGGCCCAGTTGAATCCAAATACGGATTCTGCAGTTATGTCAGTATCAGTTATATGTGTTGTAGTACATAATTCAAATTATACTACATATTAGCATTTAGCACACACCCCATAAGCATAAGCATAAGCATAATCCATAAGTCGGTTTATATTCCGTATCCAATTAAAACTTAAAATTTTCCAACCAACCAAGTTATCAAATAATATCACACCAGTACTGCAGTACACCACCATGAGGAAGAAAACAAAATTGAGTTATGAAACTATGAAAGTAATACTTGAAAACTCAAAAGAATATTTAATAGTTCAATACACAATACTTTAATCAAAGTTCAAACTTTAAAGTTTAATAATTATTCAACATTCAACATTCATCATTCATTCTCATTCGTCATCATAAAATCTTGGGTCAGCTGCATTGGCATCATATTCATTGGAGTCGACGGAGTCGTCATCCTCCTCGACATATTGATCGTCTCCGTCCTCCTCTGTCTTTTTTGAATCAGCCTCTTCTTCCTCCACTTCCTCCATCCTTGTTCTATGTGTGGAAGATCTAGTGGCCCTAGGAGGGTCCACTGATGTCCCTGAAGCATCAATGACCATGTCCCATGTCAATCCTTTATGCCCCTCGACCTTATCATCATCAATTAATCACTCCATAGCATGGTTCATATTTTTTGATCTGATGGGGTCTCTCTTATCTTTCTTAGCAAACCTCTCCTTCAAGAATCGATTGTACTTGACATAGACTAGGTCATTGAGCCTCTTTGATTCAAGCCTGTTCCTTTTCTTTTTATGAATCTAACAAAATCAAATGAAACTAATTAAAATCTAATATCTATGGTTCATGTATTATTTATAAAATTATACAAATTACCCTTACGGCCTTACCCTTCAAAAGTGCTCCAATTGCGCTCACAACCGGATGAAGAAGTGGTTAGGTTTAAGGTCCGAATGGCCAACTTTTGTAAATTTGGAGAACTACACCCATGTTGGCTCCACCAATGGGTTGTAAAGATATAGAAAAAAATCACGAATAAATAATAGAATTACTTGATTACTTGAACTTTATGAAGATGAACTTAAGAATATTATTAATACCTAGATTAATTTTGGTCTTTTGCCTCATCGCCATTGGACTCCCAAAAGACTTTAATGAGCATTTGTAATTTATCAACTCACCAGCACTTATAATATCCTGCATATCAGGATCAGGGACTAGCACCTCTACACACTCATTAAATCCATTCATAATTGTGTCATTTGTTTGTATATCGTTGTCAATATAAAAAAAAGCTGGGTTCAAATAATACCAAGCTGCATGCAATGGCCGATGTAGCTGCCTATCCCACTTCTCATCAATAATCTCCCAAACAGGCTTGTAGCGGGTTTTTTCATCATTGATATTTTTGGGCTATCTCTCTTTCGCATTTCTTCATAGCATCATATATATAGCCCATAGAAGGCTTGTCACTATCAACCATGCGAAGGACTTTGACAAGAGGAAAAATACCTTAAGAACACCCTTCACCCCTCTCCAAAAAGCCTTTGAAAGTATAATATCTCTCACCTTCTTCCCAACCTGATCCTTAGACCACTTGCATGCTCTCCACTCATCCGAGATAAACATTTGCCTCAACTGCACTCTCCTCGAATGTATGCTATCTAGGCATAAGTACCAGGTCGCAAATCTCGTGAGCCCAGGCCTCACAATCTCTTTCTTCTTTGTAAAGGTACGCATCATGCTGAAGGTGAGATAGTGGCTATAAATAAAATTTGTAACTAACTTGGCCTTCTTCACTACACCTGATATCTCGGTTAAACCGCCAAGAGCCTCAAGCATGAG